GCTTGATGAGTGGAGGAGAAGTACATTAATTCCTATTTATAAAAATAAAGGAGATATTCAGAATTACACTAACTATAGAGGGATTAAACTCATGAGCCACACAATGAAATTATGGGAGAAAGTAATTGAGCACAGGTTGAGATTGGAGACAAGTATTTCTGAGAATCAATTTAGTTTTATACCAGGTAGATCAACTACAAGGTGATTTATCTACTAAGGGGATTAATGAAAAAGTATCGCTGTAAAGATAAAGATCTACACATGATTTTTATTGATTTGGAAAAAGCTTATGACCGTATACCAAGAGAAGTGCTTTGGAAAAAGTTGGAAAAAAAGGGAGTACGGATTGCTTATATTAAAGCCATACAAGATATGTATGAGGGGGTAAAAACTAATATAAGAACGCCTAGTGGTCAAACAAAGGATTTTCCTATAAAGATTGGACTACATCAGGGATCATCTTTGAGTCCTTATTTGTTCAACTTGATTTTAAATGTTTTGATGGAACATATTCAAGAGGAAATCTCGAAATGTATGCTCTTTGCAGATGATATAGTTCTTATAGCAGAGACAAGAGAAGAGGTTAATTGCAAACTTGAGTTATGGAGGAGGACATTGGAGTCGAAAGGGTTTCGTCTGAGTAGAAGTAAGACGGAATATTTATATTGTAAATTTGGTAAAGGAATATTCGACAATAATTTGGAAGTAAAATTGGGAGATCAAATTATACCTCAAGTGGAAAAGTTTAGATATTTGGGAACCATTATTCAAAATGATGGCGAAATCAGTGGAGATATTTCACATAAAATTCAAGATGGGTAGTTTAATTGGAGAAAAGCTAAAGGAGTTATTTGCGACCGTAAGGTGTCTAATAAACTTAAAGGAAAGTTTTATCGCACTGCTATCAGACCGGCAATATTATATAGTAGTGAATGCTAGGCTCTAACGGGACAGCAAGAGCATAAAGTTGGAGTAGCAGAGATGAGAATGTTATGATGGATGTGCGAACATACACGTAAAGATAAAATTCAAAATGAGCACGTACGCGAAAAAGTGAGGGTGGCACCTATTGAGAAAAAAATGGTAGAAAATCGGTTGAGATGGTTTGGGCATATACAAAGAAGACTAAGGGAGGCACCAGTGAGAAGAGTGGAACATATAACTTTGAGTCCGATTAAGAGAGGTAGAGGAAGGCCTAAGAGAACACTCTTGAAAGTTGTTGAACACGATCTCTTAATTAATAATATTCCTAAAAGCTTGATAAATGATAGAGCACAATGACGTCTTGCAATCCATGTAGCTGACCCCACCTAGTGTGATAAAGGCTTGTTGTTGTTGTTGTATTAGCCTAGGCACTAAAACAAGCACCTACATGAAATTTGACATAATATTTCAAGTTTGATATATACAAAAAATTAGCTACTATATTCAAAATATCTAACAATTGCTTCTCTATATACAAACAAAAAATATTTGTGATTCCTAATTACTCAAAAAATATTACGTGGAAATGCTGCCATATACATAATTATACTTGCTTATGTACACCAAAGAAGTACAATGTAACTAATTTTTATATTGGGTTAGGATTCTTGCATGTTTTGCGACTATGTTTGGCCTCCCTACATCTTGAATAATGATAAATTTTCTTATTTTAAAAGACTCTATCCTTCTTGTTCGTGGCCTCTTGAGAGGACGACTAGTTAAAGACGGTTGCAAGAAAAGAAAGTTTTGATATATTATCACCTGAAAGTTTATGTGATTCCAATTTATCATTATGCTAGGCTTAACAAAATATTGAAGTTAGGTAAATAATACATAACACAATATTCACTACGCACAATATAAAGGTCATTTATTCTCAATTAAAAGTCCATACGATTCTACTTTATCAATGGACTAGACTTAATAAAATGTACAAGTAAGTAAACAATGCACAACACAATATCCATTATGCACAACATAAGGTTTATATATTCTCAACTAAAAGTCCATACGAGTCTACTTTATCAATAAGCTAGGCTTAGCAAAATGCATAAACAAGCAAACAATGCATAGCACAATATCCACTATGCATAATATAAGGTTTATTTATTCTCAACTAAAAGTCCATAAAATTATGCTTTATCAGTAGGTTAAGCTTGACAAAATGCAAAAGTATGCACAACATAAGGTTTATATATTCTCAACTAAAAGTTCATACGATTCTACTTTATTAGTAGACTAAACTTAACAAAATGCATAAATAAGCAAACAATGCATAACACAATATCCACTATGCACAATATAAGGTTCACTTATTTTCAACTAAAAGTCCACAAGATTCTACTTTATCAGTAGGCTAGGCTTGACAAAATGCACAAATAAACAAATAATGCATAACACAATATCCACTATGCATATAACATAAGGTTCATATATTCTCAACTAAAAGTTCATATGATTTTACTTTATCAGTAGACTAAACTTAACAAAATGCATAAATAGGCAAACAATGCATAACAAAATATTACTATGCACAATATAAGATTCATTTATTCTAAACTAAAAGTCCATAAGATTTTACTTTATCAGTAGGTTAGGTTTGACAAAATGCACAAAGCAAATAATGCACAACACAATATCCACTATGTACAACACAACCTTCATATATTCTAAATTGAAAGTCATGTGTATCCAGTTTATCAGTTGGCTAGGCTTAACAAAAAGTTTTTTAAGTTTATGAACAATAAATAGTTTATATATAACATGACAAGGTCCATTTATTAACAACGTAGTGTCCATCTATTTCATATGATTTGTGTGATTGAACTGAACATTTAAAAAAGTTTCTCAAGTTTATGAAGAACAAAATGTCCATATATAACATGAAAATACCCATTTGCTAATAACATAATGTCCATATATTTACAATACAAGGTTTGTCAATATGATACACATAAATATCCGCACGAGTTAATTGCAAAGTTTGCACAACGTAAACTTCATAAATAACAATATAAATTTCATAAATAACATCTATACCAGAACATGTATGTCAGTTGTAGAAAAATATGTATCAAAAACAACAAAAAATTCATAAATAACAACTTGTTTTCATTAAATGAATGTGAACACGTACATTATGATTAGATAAAACTGATATGGCTCAAACTCTTTCTATATCCTTTTTTGACAAAATAAAACTGATAATGGTAAATGCAGTAGCTTGATTCATTCTTTCCACACTATGGCAGATCGTTTCAAGAAGCTGGTTGGCATGAGAGGAATGTAATCAGACGAATTCCTAATCGTCTTCTCCATACCCATCTGGATAAAAGTAGATTGCCCACTCATATCTGTTGAATGAAAAAGTTTCAAATGAGAGAAAGAATGAAGAAGGAGGAAGAAGAAGAGAGGAAATATATAAGCATGATGGGAAGGAAGATGAATTTGGTTATTGTATCAGTGTTGAAAGAGGGAGAGAGAGAGAAGGAGGAGGGAGGAAGAAAAAGAAATTGCCATTCAGCAACTGATTATGGGAGGGACAAATTGGTTATTTCACCAGAAAACATAATTGCAAATGAGGCCTAAAGAATAATTTCATATTCTATTAGGCCTTATCTATAAAATTCTTGCTTTTTAAGGCCTTTAGTGCCATATTCCAAAAAAGTTTTGTTAGCTCAACCATGATGTACATGTGTTATAAATACATAAAAGATCAGCAACATCTCTATTTGAAACTTGAACCAATACCTCTATTTTAAACTTGAACCAATAGAATCTTCCTTGAGCGAGTAGGAAAATTTCACGCAAGGAAATTCTCATCTCACCCACCATCGCATGTATCTTCGATAAGCACAGACAAAATATTTAAGCTTTCCAAACGTCAAGTCTAAAGATCAACGACACCATCATCATTAGAATTCCTACCTAAAAATCTCCCTTCACCGAGTCACCAGTTGATCGGGCGCTACCTCTGACGTCATAGCTTCTTTTGGTCAGTATTATTCTTTTCTCAATTAAACATTAAACAATACTTGAAAAGCAGTTAATATTGTAACAAATAAGTGCGGTAAGAAAATTAACAACTATCATAAGGTAATTAACCACACATACTAAGGTGATGAATAAGTCATTTAAACATGAAATCATACTGGTATGATCATGTTTTACCTATATGTTTTACCTAAAATTCTTTCAAACACATACCGATATATCAAAGACATACTAGTATATTATAGACATACCGATATGTCATATACTTACCAGTATGTTTTGCTTGGAATTCTTTTATGTTGTAACAAACAAGTGCGGCAAGAAAATTAACAATTATTGTAAGGTAATTAACTACACGCACTAAGGCAATGAACAAATCATCCAAATATGAAATCTTACCTATATATCAGAGACATATCGGCATGACATGTATGTTTTCTCTATCATTTTTTCACACATTACCTACAGTTCTTCTTCTGAAAAATGATTCTTGTGCAGAAACTCTAGTGATGAAGATGTCGCTGATTTTCAGATGCCCTAATTCAAGTCCTAGAGAGATTCAGATCTTTATTTGTATTTTTTTGTATTTTAAGATTAGTAATTATGATAAATAATCATTGCTTATAATTAATTATATATAAGAGTTGATTCTTTAGTTTAAGTCTTGAAAGTCGACAGAAGTCTCACTGATCTTCAAATGCCCTAGTTCACGTCTTGGAAAACTTCATCTCTGGTGACGGAGTTGTTTGTCATCTTCAATATCACTATGTGTAACGTTCATTTTTTGATCTACATTCATTTTTTTTCTTTCAACAAGGAACAATATTATTATTTCATTGTGAAATTTAATCTCAGATTGGTGCCCTCGCCCTAGAGTGATATATTAATATTTTGGATTTTTTTTATTTATTAAATGCGGTCAGAGGATGTGTTTGAAATTTCCCTCGGAAAAACCTATAATTTTAACTAGTTCCAGTCTTAATCCCTATAATTTATTTTTTTTTTTTTTTAATAAAAAAAAGTCGAGAGACACGCTCCCTCCCTCTGGTTTCAGACTTTCAGTTCCACTATTCACTCTCTTGTCTCGTTGTGCTTCTCGCTTGCGTTCATCTCCGAGGTCAGGCTTCAACTCGTGTTTCCCTCAGCAACGGCAGACCTGTTAGCTTTCCTCCATCCTTCAGAGTTCAATACTTGAGCTATCGCTGCTCAATTTCCCCCCTATCGGTAGCTTCTGGCTAGTGCTTTGTCCGCGCTGGCGCGCGCGCATGTATATAGTTGATTGTTATTTCACCGCCAAACCTTGCTTATTGTCCCCTCCCTCCAGACATATTAATCTTTTAATCGTGCAATCTTTCAGCGCTTCTTTCGTTTGAAATATTATTAACTTAAATCTGAACAGCTATTATTAACTTGAAATATTCTAGCATTTGTGGGGATCCCTCGACACGTAAAAGCAATTTCTTTTTGGGCTACTATTCTTGCTAAAAGGAATGTTACCAAGATTCATGATTCAATCAACATAAAGAATATCAGAAAACGCTTGAACATAGTTCTTCAAATTCAAAAATATTTAGGGTTTTGATTTGCACATGTAATTGCATTAATATGTGATTGGGAAAACAACAGAACAATTACCACAAATTTGGAACTTTGTACTGGATTGGTGAGAAGAAATAAATCTGCACGAAGGTTTCTTTGTCCCAAAAGGGGGAAAACACAGAGAGAGAAGAAACTGAGTTAGATTACACAGTTTCAGCCTTGGGACCAAAATTTTGGTGATTTATGCACTACTTCTGTTTCAAATATCTGCTAGGTGACATTATCAGTCTTGTTTATCTTCTTTTGTTGTCTATTGTTCTTGGTAATCTCTAGCGCAAGTTGGTTATGATTCCCCAGCTATTGTTCTGAAGCATTTAGTACTGGTTTCTAATTCTTGGGACAAAATTTATGCTCCTCTCATTGAGTCACATTCGAATTGGAATGATTGAATATGCTGTTAAACTTGATTACCATTTTCTGAATTGTCTTTGTTACATGTGGGTTTAACTGTAATTTTATTTTAGATTTGTGTTTGACCATAAATGAAGATTTCTTTTTAATACCGCAGAGGCATTATCTGTTGATATGTTGTGTTTTGGAGATGGGTTGTGAAAATGGCTCTATTTAGTTCTGGTTGTGTAGAACTGGGTTTGTAATTCAATGCCAGATTTTGTTTTGGGAAATGTTGCTTTGCTTCAAACCCTCTATGGCTGTCTCAGTTTGGGTCTTAAAATTTTCGGTAGTTCCTTGCCAATCTCATACCATCATTACTAACTCAGTAACTCAGTTGTTGTTTTTTTAAAAATCCATCTTAGTTTAGCCTGTGAGGTGGTACATGAGTTTTTAAGAGTTTACTGGTACTGGGGTTTTAACGAATGAAATGTACAGCTTTTTTTAACCAAGGCTTAAGATTTTTATTTGATATAAAAGTTATGTAACTCTCTTTAATTAAGCAAGCGGTGGTTTTTACTTTATTTTAAGGATAAATGACTTATGGGAATTTTCTTCTTTCTCTGTTTCAATTGTATGCATGAAACTAACCTTCTGAGAGTGTCACATAAAGCCTTTAAGATGAGTGGCATTACATCAGCTAATGATATTGCTATGGCAGCTGAAGTTAGGGCTATATTTATTGGAATGATCTTGAGCCCAAACTCAAAATGTTCCATTTCACATTCTGTTGCAAAGGTGGTCTAAAAATTTCAATAGAATATGGAGCACATTCTGTGGGATTAGTTGTTGATGATAATGCAGAAATGATATTCGAGGTTTCTACAGTAGCTAACTCCGCATTTGTGCATCTATGTTTTCTCTGGCCTTTATAACCTTTAAATAGGGTATGGATGGATCATAACCAAAAACAATAAAGAATGGAGAAAGGGTTTTAACAATCAGGCTGCAAATTTTTCTTATTTTCTTCAGATTGATAATACTTATATTATAATAATGGGATATGATGTGCATAAGGACACCCATCTCTTATGCACAGTGAGTTTGGCTGCTTGAAGATGATTTTTTCCAATTTATTTAAGAAAATTTAAATGCCTAATTGTTGATAAAAATTTAAAGATGGACTTGTAAAACAAAAAGGCTTTCCTCATATTGATAATTTGTTTTCAGTTGAGTTGAAAAGTGAATTACTTAATTTAGATGTACAATTGTACATTGATTTGAATATTTTACTAATAATATTAAATGAATAAAAGCCTACTAGAATGCAAAACATAGTCAGGATTCAATTCAATCTCTTTTGAGTGGTACCCATTATTAGGAATCAATAATTAGGAATAGTGTAGATCCTCCTAACATAGTAGTTGAATTACTTGTGCCAGCTATTAGCTTGCATGTATTTCTCTTGGAATATATTAGTATTTTACATTTTTTTTGTCTTTTTGGCTATAGTTAGTAGTTTTGAACACACTTGCAATGTGAAACAGCGGCCTGCAGCCCTGCCTTGAGTGTTGGGCACTTCGAATTGCATTTTCTTGCGGGTCAAACGTGATAATTGGCTACAGTTTTACACCTCAGAATATAATCAAATCAGGCTAGGCTGGCCTTCCCTTTGTCTTCAAGCTTTGTATTGAGAGGGAACAGAGTGTCTGGTTTTCTCATCCACCCTACCTCACTTTGCTTGAATCAGCTTTCCCAAGTCTCAGAATGCTTGCAGGTGTTTGTTTTTCTCATTGTATTTCAATGTTTTGTTTGTTCATTTAATGTTGATGGAACCCAACTGTTCAATGAGCCTTCCTGCTGAGTAAAGTAGATGTTTCTAATTTCCAGTTTTTTCTAGGTTGGACTGAGAAAGTAGTAGTTTTAACTATTTTGCTTTTGAACATTTTCCAAATTTTATCATATTCAATTTATTGTTCAAACGTTCATTAAGAAAACAAAATAGCACAGGTTAAAAACTGTCTACCCAATCTTTGTTTCTTGATTAAGTTAATGCTGTTCTACGTTTATTTCCTTCCAAACATATCAATATGTTGGGCCAAAAATTTGAAGATATTATGATGCTATTTGACCTTAGTAATTTCAAATACAGCACATATACTTTCCTTGACTTTGCAAGTTATTTTGTTTTTTTTTTCTACAGGTTCAACCACTGGAAGTTTCTTGCAAGTTAAGGTTGCTAATTTCCCCAAAAGGCAAATCCTTTGTACTCTTGTTTATCGTTAACTGATTATATTGATTTTGATGATGGTGACAGAATAAAGTACAATTCAGATGGTATAACCTTCCAGATCACAGTTTTGAGAGGGGAAAAGTGCAACGTTCCAGATTGCAGTTTGTGAAATTTAAAGTTGACTGCAATTTTATTCAATCAGAAAATGATCCAAGCTCACAAAAGGTACTTGGAAAACATCAGCCTTTGGTTAAGATGTGTGGCATTACGTCAGCTAAAGATGCTGCTATGGCAGCCGAAGCTGGGGCTAATTTTATTGGAATGATCTTGTGGCCAAAATCAAAACGTTCTGTTTCTCAATCTGTTGCGAAGGAGATCTCAAAAGTTGCAAGAGAACACGGAGCACATCCTGTGGGTGTATTTGTGGATGATGATGCAGAAACAATATTAAGAATTTCTGAAGGAGCTAACCTTGAATTTGTGCAGGTATATTTTGGTCTGACCTTAGTGTCTATTCCATTTGTCTTAATTAAAATACTTGATCTCATAATATCTGAAAAACGCAGCTTCATGGGCATGGTTCTCGGGCAGCTTTTCCATCTTTGATTCAGGAAAATCGAGTAATATACGTTCTTCATGCAAATGAAGATGGAAGCCTGTTAAACACAATTTCTGATGAACAATGCTCTCTAGTTGATTGGGTGCTTGTAGATAGTGCAACTGGTGGCTGGTAAAATTGAACTTCCTATAATGCTTACTCCCTCTGGACTACAATAAAAAACATCTTTTAAAAGTCTTACTTGGTCCAAAATATAGGGCATCTGGTAGTTTTTATAATTATTTTTTCAACTATACCTCTACTACATTTATTGTTCTTTGAAAAAAATGATGCATTGGGATTTCAATTGTTATTATTAAAGAACTTATGTGTGATATTTAATGAAGGAATAATTGGAAAGATGCAAATTCTTTTTAAAAGATTAAGGTTTCACCCAACTTTTTCTTAATCATGAAGTGGTTACCAATGCCCTATTAGGGTTCGGAGGAAGAATGTTGGATAATTTGTCCCTTTCCCGACAATCAAATTGGATTCAATATCTGTCTCTTCTAATGCATTAGATGCTCTCTCCGTTTCTTATAGAAAAAAATGTATCACACATTTTAAAAAATTTGTTTAACAATAATGATTATGTATGAAAATAAAAAAAAAAATTGGACTAAAATACCCTATGTTAATGAACATAAGCATGCATTAATTATTTCTCATTAATGTAAATTATGAGGGTTGATTTAGGAAATGTGTAATAAATGCTTATTGAAATAGATGATTTTGCTTATATAAAAAAAAAAAAAACAAGTAAAAAGTGGCAGTATCTCCTGCAAATAGAAATGAAGGGAGTATGTATCTACTTTATGAATGTCGAAGATTCAGATTTCAGTAATATTATGGAACTTCACTTCATGAGATGTGTTTGCAGTGGCAAAGCATTCAATTGGGCAAAGTTTAAACTACCAACAATTAGAAGCAAGCATGGTTGGCTATTAGCAGGGGGATCAATCCTGAGAATGTATCAGAGGCTTTATCTGCTCTTACACCTCAAGGGATCGATGTTAGTAGTGGAATTTGTGCATCAGATGGCATCCAGAAGGATCAATCTAGAATAACTTCATTCATGAATGCTGTGCATTCTGTTCAGTACTGATTGACCTCAGATCATTTTGAACTTCGAGACAGCACATTTATAAGATTTAGGGTTTACTAAGCAGAGTATACAATTTTCATACTGATTTATTTACGACTCTGGAACTAGACAAAAAAGTTGAGAAAGTTCCCCATCAAATCGAAACGTTGAATTTTTTTTTTTTTTTTTTTGGGCTGTTTGATGAGCTTGGAGTGAGGAGTGGAGTCAGAGGCGACGAGCCTTCAACCTTTTTCCTTTCTTTCTTTCATCTTTTTTTAGTACAAAAAGTAGACCACACTAGCAGTAGAAATTATTTTCATGGGATGCAAATGATATATCTCTATCAACTAGATTATTGTATATACAACGTCTGTTATTTGATTCCTAACCATATACTTAAGTGGCTGCAATTGTTTTCAATTCGCGTGAGCTTGAATTGGTGGCCTTCAACTTCTCTGAATGACCTAAATGAGGGTTTTGGGCTTATTTAGGTTTGGTATGTCCAGGTAGAGTATATAAAGCATGTGACCTGTAGACATGGAGACGCATGATCATTAAGTCTCAACTGGTTAATTTTATTCCACCTCTCAGAGGGGATAAATACTATTTAAATAGCACAGCAATACATTTGTACTGAAATTTACCCAGAGCATGCATGATGGAGTTGTAGATGAACCAATAAAGATGTTATGTTGTTGTGTCTGGTATACCCTCCTTGATTTTCTCAGTTGGCCAAGTATGTTCACACATGTATATATCCTCCTTGATTTTTTCCTCCTTGCGCGATGATCATTGCCCTTTTAATTCCAAAAAATAGAAATTAAAAAAAAGGTGGCGACGTACACATTTATCAAGGACTAGAAAGCATTAGCAACATTTGACCAAAAAAGACAGCATTATCAACAAGACTATTGATAAGCAACCCTTTCATAGTAAACGAGCCACATTTGGATATCAGTGTGAAAATATTTTTTTAATACAATATCTGGTATCCTATTATTATTAAATGATATTTATTAATAATATTTAAAATTAAAATACAAAAAAATATTTACCATGCTGTCAACTTCAATAACAATCTTGATAACTACTCTTGGTTTTACTTGGTTTGGTGATTTGTACTTTAAATCTGATTTTTTGGATTGTTTAAGCTATCTATAATATTTGAAGGTTTTCATTAAATATCTTATTCTGGACATGAAATTTGATTTTTTTTGAGATTCATAATTTAATCCATAGTATTTGGAAGTTCAGGAGTTCTATCATTCATGATCATCACAAGCTAGATCTTTGCAAAGCCATTCTAAGATTATCATCATTCATGCTACTCTCCAAAGCATGTATGTACATGGGATGGAATTGATCTGCATGCGTCTAGAATTAGTGCTTCCAATAGCTCATTAGGATTGCAAAATTTAGTTGTGATTGTTGCTAGAAGTCTTCCAAATTTCCAAGGAAATGGATGGAGCTTCATTTGTACCGAGATAAAATAGAGGTTATTCAATGTTATCAAAATCTTAGCTCTTCAGGACAGACGACAAGTTGCCATGTTTGCCTGTTCTAAGCGTAGATCTACTAATCTAAATGATTTTAAAATTCTATGCCTTCATTCAACTTTACTCTGGACCTTAACCATGACTACTACTACTACTAGAAATTTTTCGATATCAAGACTTCAATCTCTTTCATTGGCTGAACTTCTTTAATAAATCTTAAGCTGGAGATTCCGGTTTGATGATTGCAAAAGATATTTGCTCTCTTCTCACCAACTTCAATGCGGTCTATATTGTGATTTTACGTTTGAAATTAATGCAAGCGGACACTTGTCTTCCGTATTTTAGCTTCTTCTTTTAGCCCAACCTGTATTGTGTTAATTTTTAGTATACACTGTATTTGAAACTATTTTGTCCCTTTATCCAAAAAAAAAAAAACTTCAATAATTTTTTTCTTGAATGGAAATTGAAATCAATTACTCGAGGAAAAAAATATACATACATAGACGAAAACACACGAGATTGAGGAGGAAGGAGGGAGGGAGCAATCGATCTTTGGGAGAACAGAGTTAATGTACAGGAATTTGATAAATATAAAAAAAAGTTACAGGTCCAGTTTTGAGCACTAATGCAATGTTTAAGAGACAATGGCTAAATATCGTGATAAAAGAATTGACATCCATCCTTTCCTTATAGAGAATAGACTATGGCACTCACTTTATCTGGTATTAAACGGGTGTAGTTAATTTGAACCAATGAAGATTAAGAATATTAAGAATCCAACAGAAGTGCGTCAATGTTTCGTTTCCCTTCAGGACCTTTGGTATACCATGATGACACATAGTCTCCATAAACAACTCCCCTGTATTTTGGTGGCGAAGATTCACCAAGCAGTTCAGATGCAGGGGATATCTTAACTGTCTTCGCAGGATCATGAAATGTTGCTACAGAGAGCCTTGCTCTGTTACAATTGGTAACGGCCCTATGTTCACAGCTCCTGTATTTCCCATTTGTTATAATCTGTAGCCAAAGAAATTTTAATTTAGACAAGAAATTGCTTGATCATACAAGTTTTGCTTATTCAAAGAAAGCCGATTTACTTAGCAATTTCAGTTCCGTCAATGAATGTGTTTATCCACTACTAAACGCATTCTAGAGTCCCATAGCAAGTTAGCAACAACTTGTGCAGTAGAATGGAAAACAGTGAAACTAAGTAGTAGTTTAACAATACTTCCATTTTATAGGAAGCACCAATGAACCAAAAACATTGCAATAGGATATGAGCACATGTTCCAACGTCTGCCTTGGCCTTTTTTATATCGATACATTTTGAAATATACTAACGTGCTTCAAAACGTTCCAAAATGGCTCAAAAGATTACTGATCGAAATCCATTTAATTTAAATTGGAAATTCATGCTTTAATTTGTTTTGTGGTTTTATGGGTAGCTATGTTACAAATATCTTTTTTCATGCACTTAATTTGTTGAATCTATATATATTGTATTTCATCTCTTAAAATTTTAGAGAATATTGTATTCACATATTGTATCATGTATTACCCAATTGCCCGTGTCAATGGTCTGAGTAGTGTTGTGAGGCCTATAGACATTCCAGAGACAACAGTAATCAATCTAACCTTGTCTTCATGAATCTTCACATCTCAACTAAACATACACATGCCAAATCACAGATAAATTTAAACTTGTATCTATGAAAGTCCCTCGCCCCCTCTTTCCTTCTTGTCTTTTTATGGAAGTATATTTAAACAACAACTATTAGATTCTGAACATGATTCTCTACTGAGTCCTACATAAAAATGCATTTTCCATCCAGACCCACCAGGAAAGAACATTGGATGGAAGGAAGGAAATTTATATTAAATTAAATAGGTAAATTAACTTCAGATATCAATTAGAGTTTAAAATGGTTTAACTGTCGCAGCTTGGGAGATAAGGGGCAGTCAAACAAAATGACCAAGTGCCCACTTGGCCATGTTTTGAAATTTCAACATTTTGAAAGAATGCTTTTGCCAAAAGCACCTCAAGCTGAAAACAAAAAGACATTTGTACTCAACTACAAATATTAACAAATGAACAAGCACCAATAAAATTTTAAAAAGTTACTCTAACTTTTCACAACATTTTTTATCTAAAGTAAAAACAAATTTTCAATAGAGGAAATACATTCCATAATCTATACCAACTCAGGAGAGATCATCAATGTCAATCACAACCCTGAACCCGATAGCCTGCTTGATTGGCCAGACTTGAGGATCAGAAAATAGTTATCACAGAGCAAAAGCATGTTGAGGAAGAAGAAAAAAGGATACCCATAATATAAATGTTTTTTCCCATAGGTGAAGAAGGAACTCATTTTAAGAATGGCACGGAGACAGCCCTCAAATATGAGTCAAATGTATTACTCCATACGCTCCTAAAGAGACTACTCTTTAGTCTATATCCAAAAGGACTTTTCAGAATGTAATCAATCCCAGAATATGTTAATTAGTTAAGATTTATCCAAAAGAAGAAAGATATCTTGAATTGGAACTTCAATGTAATCGGGGCCTCCGCTTCCACTTACATGACATGAGACATGCGGGTCCAGAACTGTCAATAAGAGAATTAATAGACAGATAGCTGACAGCATGGTTTAGTGCCAATGTACATACAACAATCGCAAGGAATTAGCATACTTGAGGCAAGAAGATGATGTTAAATATACAAAATGGACTGAGAAAAAGAATCCCAAACCAGTGAGCTATCAAATGATCGAGTTTTTGTTGATATATAAAAGAGTACACAAAATTCTAAATCAATTTTACTATCTCAATTAACACTGATTGGCGGTTGCTGCAAATCATCTCAGACCACAAATTAATGCGTAACGAAACTAAATAAGAAGGTTGATGTTTACCTCAGTTTGATCAGCCAATAGAACAAGAATGGCCTCAGAGAGAGGCTTCACGGTCACCCATTTGGCACCATCCTTGAGAACCTGAAGACCCCCCACGTCGTCTTGGATCAAAAGCGTGATAGCACCCATATCAGAGTGAGCCTGCAGACCAAGTGTGAGTTCGGGTTGAGGACATGGAGGGTAATAACTGATAGTAATATTCTGATAGAAATCCCCAACGGCGTCTTCAATGCACGAAGATCGCAGGCCCAGACTCTCCGAGATTAGACCCGACAACTTCTGAGCCAGAACTTTCATTTCATCGCTGTACCTAGTGACGACTTCTCTGTAGTCGGAAGGAAAGCTAGGCCAGCGAGAAGGGTTGCGGCGGGATAAGGGCAAAGAGTGGTGGTCAAAGTAATCCCTCCAATCCAAAATTTGGACCGCGTCGTTTTGCTGCTGGTCTGAGCTCTGAAGCATCCGACTCCCGTATCCTTCCGACGCGGCGGAGCTGGAATCGCATGCGTATCGGAGCTTCTCCGACATAGGGCAGTCGTTGAAGAAAGTGAGACCCACGCGCCTAATATCATCCAGAAGGCTGACCGGAACGCCGTGGTTTTTGACATGAAAGGCGCCCCATTCACGACAAGCCCGTCGGATTGCTTCCCGAACAGAATTCTTTTGATCCGGGTCGAACCCGAACAGGTTGACTACCGGAATATCGGCGTCCGAGTCGGTGAAACTTGAGGAGGTTGTGGCGGCACATGGATCCTGGTGAATTGGTCGATTCTCGGGAAATTGGATGTACTGAGGTGGAACTTGAGAAACACCTGATTGAGCTAGAGCTTGCACTCTGATAACGTCGCCGCAAACTTCCATTCTTGATATGGCGCGTTCAGAGACAGATAAGAATGCAGCAACAACGGAAGACGAGCGCAGTTGAAGATGAATTACGTTTTGTTACCAAACTTTTCTCCTCTTTTCGGCCACAGTTTTGCTGCGAAAGTTAGAGACGTGTAACGAGTCTTGACTTGACACGTGTCAACTTCGGTCAAAAACTTTGGAAAACCTGCCATGAAGTCGCCACAACTATTTAAAATACATATGGCCTAACCCGGTCGTTGGCCCATATTAGTTTAGAAAAATATAGATTAGGTTAGGTATAATTTATTTTTATATGAATTAATAAATTTTCAACCTAACCAAATTCGTTGATGAATTAAATGAACTAATTCGTTAATTTATTTATTTATTTTTAATTTATTTTTTATGAATTTTTTAAAAAATATATTTAAATAATAAGTTTTAATTTAAATTTTTTTCATGATTCATTCTAAATATATCAAAATATTAATTTATAATATTTATATAAAATATAAATTAATACAATTAAGTAATTTATGTCTAATATAATTTATATCTATAAATTTTTTTTATTTTTTAAAAATAATATGGGTTAAACGGGCTAACTCTAATCCATCAAGGTTAGCTCATATGATTCAGGTTAAAAAAAATATTTTTATTTGGGTCAATTTTTTTTCAACCCAACTAGACTTTTATAACCGGTTATTCAGGCTAACTCACATAAATCGACCCATATTTTTTGCTCTAAAAATACCTAAAAATCTCATGAGACATTGCTGTTAGGTTCTAAGAATTTAGGGCTAAATAAGATTAAAATCATAATGATAAAAATACTTACTCCCTCCATTTTTATATATAAAAAAAAATTATACCACACAATTTAAAAAAATTAGTTAACAATAATAATTATGTTTGAAAATAATAAAAATTGAATTAAAATGTCCTATGTTAATTAATATAAGCATGAGTTTATTATTTTTTATTAATATAAATTATAAGGGGTAATTTAAGAAATGTGTAATAAATGTTTATTAAAATAAGTGATTTTTTTATATAAAAAATAAGTAAAAAGTGATAGTTTCTCTTACAAATAAAAATGAAAAAAATATGTTATAAGATGACTAAAAACAATTTGTCAATGGTTATTTACTATAGGATAAAAGCTATTGACAAGTAAGGTAGCAGCTATTTACTCTTGTCATCGCGATATCTCATTTATTTATAGTCTTTTGCCTTATATATAAAGGGCCATTGGTAAATTATCAAGGAAATTTTATAACATGAGCATTTTAGTTATCATTATTTTAATCTTATTCATCTCTAAACCCCTTAAAACTTAATAGATATTTTTAAATTTGATAAAACTTTTAATATTTTGAATAATTGTAAAAAACTTCGTTATGATTTTCTCAAAAATTTGAGAATAGTTGTAGATACTAGAAAGTTCCACACGTGCACAGATGGCATGAAGTCCTTGAATCCTTAGTTAGAAGTAAAACATGCTTCTTATGATGGTAATGCCCTTTAAAAATATTTACATATGAAAAATATATGTGGGATTCATTGTAAGAAAAAAAATAGGTATAAGGTCCATAATAAAAATAGTCTTAAATATGAGATCCATAAAGAAATTATAGACATATTTTTTTGACTTTAAAAAAAATTATAGGTATGTGAGGTTTACCATTTGTTGCTTTAAAATGATAATGGATATAAGACTTATATTCTGTTACTTGTACCTTGCATATTACACACACACATAAGATAATAAATTGTAAAATAATATGCAAAATTAATACTCCCTCCATTAAAAAATGCAAAGAATTTTTTGAAGAATTAAATGTTTAAAAATATAAGGCATTTTTAATCTTTTGAAGTGTAATCATTGACTTTTTTTTACAAGTATCCCTTTTGATAGTAACTTTATATTTATTATAGAGTGTTTAATAGGAGTAAATATGAAAAAATAGTGTTAGTTTGAAAGTAGGTAACTATTTTATTAGGAATAAGATTCAGTTAAAAATGCCTTACATTTTTTAAATGGAGAAAGTAGTAAATCATGAAAAAAATTATATGGCTTATTATAGTGCATGTTTCATTTTTCTTAAGGTGATGCATGGGCAAAAAAGTGCTGAAAGAAAATAAGATAATTATATTTAAATTTTTAAGAAGTAAGAAATTTAAAAAATAATAATATTTTTCAGTAAATTTTAATTTATATTAGGCGACAAGTGATGGATCCAGGAACACTTATTGTGGGGGCAAATTTTCTTCTTTAATTAATTATATAGGATATAGAACTTAAAAGGAAGTTTATTTTTCAACATGATTTTGAAATGGATAAATTAATCCATTGACCCAAAAAAAATTTTTGTACCCAGGAAGTATGAGCTAAATTTTTTAAAATTTGAAAATATGGCTAATCCCCATTGATATAAAAGAGGTTTATTGTGAATGTATAATGGTATATTATTAACAAAAATAATAAAGCAATTATAATACAAAATATAATAAATATTGAGCTATTTAATTAATTTTATCATGGGTTATATTTATAAAAGTCCCTTTTAAAATTTCTCATCATCTTAATAAAATAAATTTGGCCGAAAAGAAAAATCAAAGAACACAAGTGTAAGGAGTCGCAAACAGCCTTACATAACGCATTTTAATAGGGGAAAAAAATTATTATTTATTAATAGAGTTGAGTGTAGTGAAAATAGTTAATTTCTTATAACAAGATAAACCAATATTTGAATTGCTCCTCTAAGAAGGATTTACATTTAGTATCTAATTATATTTTAAATAAAATTAATTTTGAGGAGAATATGTGTGAGCAATAAAATATATTATTTATATATTGAATATGCGTGAACATAATAAATTTAAAATAAATTTATTTTATTTTATTTTTATCTTTTAAATATTAAATTATTCCTGTACATGGCCACGGGAACAATGGAATGAAGGGCTAATCATTTTAACAAGAAATACATATTTTAGCTTTTTGTGTTTAACTTTTTTATTTTGCTTGAAAAATTCAAGAGTACCTTACACGTATGACAACATACATTTTAAAACATATTTTTATATTATATTTTTTATAATGTCGTATTGGAATATTTTTGATTCGTGTGATAAAATATTTGTAGGGATAATAACACATTGTTAAATAGTAAAAATATAACAAGCTGTTGTCAATTTTTGTAAAATTTCCCCTAACAACCTTGCCCTTTCACTTCCGAAAGGAAAAGGGCTCACATTTAAGAGAGGGAGATAATTGGGACATTGGGACAACTAATCATTAACAATATTTTATCACTTATTAGAAGTAATCATAGTATTAATTCTGAAATTCTTACTTTTTAGAAAAATTTGGTAAAAATTATAGATGAGTTATAGATATAATTTTATCTTCAAAAACACCCGTTTTATTAATAATATTGTTAATAAAATTGACTAGTGGTTTAGCAATTGACGAGTGGTGTCTGACTCATTTATTAATGAGAGTATAAAAAATTTAATAAATACATTTAACAAAGAATATTACTTCCTATAAATAAAATAAAAAAAATTATACGAAATTAACTTAGAAAAAAATAAAAAGAGAACATATCAATCATTTAATTAAATTTCTCAAAAATCTAGTTAATTAAGAAAAAGGATGAAATAATTTAAAATTTGTGTTAAGGTCTTATTTGCAATTAAAATTAAAAGAGAAAAGACAAAAGTAACCATTGTAAGTGAAAGAAAATATAGTCAAAGGAACAATTCAGAAAAAGCAAGTAAACATTATATTTTAACAAGCAAGTGTGTGAAAAATAACAAATATAGGCATTCAAACCACTCTGTTAGAGGAAAATGACAAATGAGAGTATTTTTTAACAAGCAACCATTTAAAAAGAATAGTAATCATCATATTAACAAGCAATGTGTGAAAAATAACAAGTATAAGCATTCAAATCACTATATTAAAAGAAAATGATAATTAAGCAAGTAACCGTTATGTTTTAATAAAGTGTTGAGAGTAACAAGTTTATATATCCAAACTATCACGTTAATAAAAATAATAAGGGAGAGTATCTTTTTTTAACAAGGAACCATTTCAAAAAAAAAAAAACACAAGTAATCATTGTGTTTTATCAAGTAAGGGCATGGAAAATAATAAATCTATACATTCATACCAGCAGGGATTGCATTGCCTTTACACATTCAAGGGTTATTTCATCTTTTCTTCAATCTTATTTGCAAATCATACCTTAAGGATTGTAGAACAAATTTAAAATCATATAATCTTTTTTCGCAACTAAGGTGTTCTAACATTCCTAAGATATGGTTTTCCCAAAAGAAAACACATGCAAGAACTCCCTTCTATCCGCTTAGTCAAAAAGGTCTATCATTACTCTCATTTTGCCTCTTTAACTCTTCGTCTCTTAACAATGACCTAATGTAAAAGCTTGATGATAATTGACAAATAAAATTTTGCAAATTTTGAGTCAACAATTGGTAGGGTGTTAATAGTATGTTTGATATAGAGATGAAATCTTTATATAATTTTAATAGGTATATGTATTAAAAATATGAAAAAAGACCAAAATGCCCTCTTTTCAAAATTAAAAACACCTCCTTTGTCCCTTGCATCTCGTTTTCTACCAAAACCATAAGCCATTAACAGCAATGTCCGGAGCCACTGACAAACACCATGACTAGAAAATATCAATAACCACCACATCAAAAATAGAAAATAGCAGAATGCAGCGCACATATTAAAAAACAAATCAACAAAAACCATACAAATTTAAGGCAAAAACCCATGTGCATATCAAACAAATATCACTGGGTAGTGACTGTCTCTTGAGGAACACAAATTGCTAGTGATTGACGCCGTTGCCAATCAGATTTGACTTCTAGACAGTGAAGATGACAACATTGAATTTGGAGATGAAGAAGTGGAGAAGATAAAGTCGGCAATAGCAACATTGAATTTGGGGGTGAAGAAGTGGAGAAGACAAATTCAACAAGATGACATTGGAGTCGGAATGAAGAAGCAGAGGAAATAGGGACAAGATTCATCGACGGATGACCACTAGATGGGGGTAGAAA